GTGTTTGTAGATGGGGAGGGGAGGAGGGGGTGAAGGGAGGGCAGAGGTAAGGGAAAAAATGAGAATCAAGACTTGTCATGTAGAGGTACAAGATCCCAACAATGAATGTAACTGTACTGTATCCCTAAAATGTACCAATAAACTCAATTAAAGCTGAAAAAAAAGAGAAAAAAAAGCATCAGTTTTAATGGGTGACTTTGTGTTGGCTTCTTCATACCTATGGCTTTTTCATTCAAAAAGAGAAAAATCCAACTATAAAAATAGCTAAATGAGAGAAGTCTGAGGAAATCTGTGAAAAGAGAAGACAACTCTGCTAGATAGCTTTCAATCATCCATAGCCGGAGTTAAAAATTGTATTGTAAAATTAGATGAGGAATGCTGCTATTATTGCATTCTACACATTTATTAAATATCAGATCACTAATTTTCAATATGTTTTGATTTCTATCATCACTTCTTAAACTTGTGGTGTAGCTCAGTGGTGGAGCATGTGCTTAGCATGTACAAGGTTTGGGGTTCAATCCCCTGCACCACCACCAAAAAAATCATTTTTATACCTCAAATGAACTCTAAGGCATCTCCAGCCTTTCTTGTCATTCCAGCTGTTGGTAACATACTAAATATTTTTATATTTATGTATAAAATTGGGTGAACATATGGTATTTTTCATAGGGCAGATTCAAAAATTAAAGAGACATAAAGATAAAATGCTATGCATATAAAGAGAAAGATGTTAATAAAATTTAATACAAATGCTATTTTATGAGCTGTGTTGAGAAACAAAGCAAGTTTAGTGATGTCTTTTAGAAATGAATGGTGTAAGATGGGTCAGTATTCTGCCAAGAATTCAAGAGTACCTTTGTGGAAATGCAGTTTTTCTGAAATTATCTAGTGTTTTATAATGAATGTACAATGTTATTGTAGTACCTGTGAACATATTCTAATGCTTCAAGGAAAAGCAGTGCATTGATTGACATTAGTCAAGTTATAAGTCATAATGAAGTTCTTCAAAGACTAACGGAGGACTAAGGATGCAGCTCAGCAGTGCAGCGCCGGCCTATCAAGCATGAGGTCCTGAGTTTGATTCCTGGTATCAAAAAAAGAAAAGAAAGCCTAAGGGAAACACTAAGCCACCGACGAACATGTAATACATATTTTCCATGTAGTTTGGTGTGATAATATAAAATACAATATATAGTATTTGATATGTCTGTCTTCTATATGGAAGAAAAGAAAATCTGGTAGTTTAGGAAGAATATTATATTTCTTATTAATGGAATATTATCTTGAAAAAGGCTTGGAAAAGGAAATTTATTGAAAGCAGAATTAATCTGAAATTATCAATAAAATCACTGATTTCTCTAATATTAAAATAATTTAAGCTGTCTCATGTTTTATTCTATTTACTACTAGAATTCATGTAAAGTGTTACAAATGTTCTTCCACAACTTGCAGGATTGAGTTTTAAAGTATTTAGCTTTAAATCCTATCCACACACTATGTTTGAAGGAATAAGCAATAAAATTAATTTAGTATTATCTGATCAAAAGATGTTTGTAAAAAAAGAAAAAAAAAGGTCAATTAAAAAATACAGCAGTGATTACTAGAGGCCAGGAAGGGGAAGGGGAAGAAAAATTAGAAGGAAGTTGGAAAATAGATACTCTAAACACAGTCCAATGTGAGGAATTAATTATAATGTTCTGTAGCAGTAGTGAGATTATAGTTCACAGTAGCAATATATTTTATGAAGAACAAGAAGAGATGATCTTAAATGTTCCAAAGAAATGACAGAGATGGATATGCTCATTAATCTAATTTGATCAATACATTGTATACATATAGAAGATCATACTGCAATACAGTTTTTGCTTTACTTAAAAATTAAATATTAAAAGTATATTCATGAATGAAAGAATTGTTAATGAGATAGTGAAATTCTGTTCAAAAAATATTTACCAAGAACATCTAACATGCCATCATTTGTTATGGAGAAATAAAGGTTTTAAAACACATCCAAATGGAAAATTGAATATGCTGTTGTTGTTACCATGAGAAAAAAGTTGCTCTACTGAAGAGTTTTCGAAGGGCCTCTTTCATGTCCCGGTTCCTAAGACTGTAGATAAAGGGGTTCAACATGGGTGTGACCACTGTGTACATGATAGCTACAATGATGTCCTTGTTGATGGAATTGTTTGTTGTTGGGAAAAGGTACTGTCCAAATATTGCCCCATAGTACAGAGAAACCACAGAGAGATGGGAGCCACATGTGGACAATGCTTTGCAGACCCCCCTCGTTGAAGAGACCCTGAGAAGGGTGGACCCAATGTAGCCATAAGATACCAGAATACATATAAATGGCAGAGTAATCACCACCACTCCTACTGTAAACATGACCAGCTCATTGAGAAAGATGTCTGAGCGGGAAAGCTTGAGCAGGGCAGCAAGGTCACAGAAGAAATGGGGAACGGTGTTAGTAGCACAGAAAGACAGCTGGGACAGGAAAAGGGTGTGACACAGGGAGCTAGCACAGGACAGGATCCAGGAGATAGCCACTAATAAGATACAGAGCTCTTCCCTCATGAGGGTGGTGTAGTGGAGAGGGTGGCATATGGCAACATACCGGTCATAGGCCATTGATGTAATAAGGAAGCTATCCAAGTCAGTAAAAAATATGAAAAAATACATCTGGGAAATGCACCCTGCAAAAGAGATGGATTTAAGATTAGTCTGCATGTCCATCAACATCTTTGGGACAGTGACAGATGAGAAAGAGACATCAGTGAAGGCCAAGTGGCTGAGGAAGAAGTACATGGGGGTGTGGAGGCGGGAGTCCAGCCTGATGAGCAGGATGATGAGCAGGTTCCCCAGCACCGTGGTCAGGTACAGGACCAGGAACAGAATGAAGAACACAGCCTGCTGGTCTGGTGGGATGGGGAGCCCCAGGAGGAGGAACTCAGACACGCAGCTCTGGTTCTCAGGCCTCATGCTGCTCTTCTTGCTGATGGGGATGAGAATGGTAGAGAATATTGGGGATGGAAATATCTTTTACCAATCATATTTTTAAAGGTCCAATGTTCTATTTCAACACAGTGGGAACATTTAACCTGTTTTTAATATTTTCCCAATATGTTGGTATGTAAGAGAACTAGAAAGCTATTGATGGAAAATGTCAATGGAAACCAGTATTTTGGGGTTTGCCAACAGAGTAGAATTCCTGTGACCTTGAGGACTAGACTGTGGGAAAAGGTGTTTCAGCTAAATTATTGCCCCAAGAAGTCCCCATTTTGAGGATTGCAAATCTTCCATAGCAACCAGTAGAGGTTTGGACTTCAACATCCAGTGTTAAATTTTATTTTTCAAATAAAAGGATGCAAAGAATAGTATTGCCCCACAATAGTCACCAGTATGCATATATTTCTTGTTTCAATTAAGCAACGGGGCCCTAAAAGTTCCAGATTGTATGGATGCATTTTCTTTGTTGCAATCAAAGAGAACTTTTTTTTTGTAACAACCTATGATTTGTCTTGTTTAAACAATTTTAAGGATTCTCACCGATTTTAAGATGAATGTAACAATTCCAATATGGTTTTAAGATCCCCCAGCCTTTGTTTCTCTACATTTCCAATCTCTTTCCTCTATCACCTCCATTCTTACCCTTGCTGAACTTCTCTGTTCCAACTCCCGCAAAAGACACATTTCCATTTGATGTCATTTAGACTCCTTCCTTTAGCAGTGATGGGTTTCCTGTGATCTTATATTGAGAGAGAAAAAAACAATACTGGTCCCTAGAAAATATTTTATTATTCATACTTTATTGTCTATTGTTAACACAGAACAGGTTGTGAGAATCAAAAATCATACTAAATTATATCCAGTGTTTTAAAGTAGATGTTTTCCTAGTCTAGCTGTCCTTTCCCCCTTCACCTGTGTAATAAAATTCACCCCATACAAATTGAGAAGGCTTTTATCAAAAGATGTCAAAAGAAGTGAGATTTTAGCTGTATCCTGTTTTCGTCCTCCTTTTCCGTACTCTTGTTATTTTAAAACACTATACTTGTTAGTCAGCTATTATAAGAATAATGATCCCCAAAGACGTACAGATCTTAGTCTCTAGAACCTGTGATCGTATTATTGTACATGTCAAGGAGAAATTTAGGCTACAGATAGAACCAAGTTTGATAATCAAGCTGACTTTCAAATAATGAGATTACCCTGGATGATCTTGGTTGTCTCTAAGTAATTATAAATCTGTATTGTGGAAGGGGATGCTGAAGAGTTAATGTTAGGGAGAGATTTGAAGGTACTGTGTTTCTGGCTTAGGAAATGCAGAAAGGCCAAGAGCAAAGGCGTGTAAATAGCTTCTAGAAGCTGGGAAAGGCAGGGAAACACATTCTGCTGTAGGACGTTCAGAAAGGTAACAGCATTTTGATTTTTAACACATTGAGACTTAAGATGTCTGAATTCCAGAACTGTAAGGCGATATACTTTTGGGCATTTTAAAGTTGTTCAATTTATGGTAATTTGCTAAATTAATAAAAGAAAGCTGATGCATCAATATTGGAATAACTTCATGATTATCCAAGATTTCTGTTTACCTGGGTGCCAGTATGCAATCCAAGTGTCCTCCTATAAAATTGCTCTTCACACAATGAAACTACACAATCACTCAACAGAGCTATTTTTCAAAAATCTAATAAGTAGGAAAAATGAGGTTACTATCTCCATACAAACATTTGAAGGAGAGTGTATTACTACTTGTCCTAAAAAAATCTTGAGATTATCCCTTTCTTAGTAAGAAAAAGTGGAGAATTAGAGAAAGTTCTCCTCTTCTAATGGCCTTCCAGCCAAGAACAAACACTCAGCAGAATAACAAACCAATGGCAGATTTCAGCATTTCTACTTTTTCAAATGTAATGACATAGACCTCATTATAATTCGTAAAAAGTCATCCTCACCCTGACATACATGTTGAGTCTGCTTGGTAAACAACATTAAAAGTATTAGGCTCAGACTCCTTTTTCCAGTAAACAAAGAGTGAACATATTCCCTTCTCTATTCCTCTTCTTCCGCCCCACTGGAGACAATGAGAGACTGGAAAAAAGCCACAAGTTTGGGAATAAGATAAGCTTGACTCAATCATAGCTCATTACGGCATTTTTGTCACAAAGCAGATTTCTTACCCTTTCCAATTTCCAGAAGATGAGAGTGTTTGGACAACATATAATTTTACTCCATAAGTCCATTGTAAAGATAAAATGAGGTGATAATTGCAAAGTCCCATGTACCATTGCTTGCGTAGAGCTCTGTAAATGTCTCTCCCCCTTCCACTACAGTTTATGACAAAATACAAATTTATTCAGAACCAGAGGAGTTTGTATTTCTATATGCCTAGGATTAAATTATTCATAACAGTTTCTTTGCTAGATTCTGAGTATTGATGCTTTGGATGAAGATGTGGAATTGAATGAAGAAAATATTAGCAAAAACAAGGTTGCAAACCAGGAAAAGAAAGATAGGGTACACATGAATGTAGAGAAAAATGAAAAGATCCTTCTACTGCTAGAATTATCATTCAGGCAGATGAAAACTGGTAAGTACTATTTGCCAGGGAAGGAAACTCAATAGAAAATTCATGGAAGAGGTTTATCTTCATAAAAGTAACTTGTATTCTGAGATCCAGCAGTGAAATGCAACTCACCTACCCCAGACTGTATTTGGAGATGAGCTGAGTCAAGCGCCAGTCCATGAGCAGCCTATGATACTCAAAGGCCAAGGCAGGAAGGTAACTGTATTCATCAAGATATGAATACGTGACTTTGTTTTCTCTGATTCCAGCTTCCTACATCTTTCCCCCTTTGATATTCTTTCTTCACTCATACTTCTTTTCAACTTCAGGTGCATTATTATTGCACCAGAAAATAGGCATTATCTAAACATTTCCTATGTAGTCAACATTACGCACTAAACAAGTGACTACAGAGAGATGTTCATCTTTAGAAAACATATGCAATCATTCCATTTTCTCTCTTTCTTATTCTACTTGTTTTTATTCTTTCTCCTTTTTTTCACCTACACCACAACTGTGCCTTCTGATTTTTTCCCCTTCTACTTCCATATACAAGCCAATCTACTAATGAGAGGAAAATATACATTTCATCTCCATTACTAACCTTGCTTGCATTTATGATCAGTTGTTTAGTGAGTGAGTTTGTCCTGAGGTTGTTTTTATAGAACCCAATAATAAACTCCCAAGATCCTAACCACTTCTCAGGTATCAAGAAGAGCCACAAGATCAAATTCTCATTGTTATTTACCAGCCTCTGCTCTATTAGTCTTATAGTGCAACTACTGAGGAAGAGAATCCAAGGGTGTAGGGGATGAAACTTGTAATTTCCAGCTATAGATATCCATCAAACTTCAGTTAACCATCAAGTTTCCTCCTCTGTTCCTCTAGGAAACGTGTCCTGTGTGAGGAATATTTGTCCTGAGAGTCTTAGAGGATAAGCTCACAGAGGAAGGATCTCAAGATATCTTCAAAGTCCCTTCTGTTCTATCCTCTGCCTTCCCACCCTTAATCGTCTTTGCATGGATTAAACCCTAGAGAGGTTAAAGAAAAAATACTGGCACTAACTAGGTGCAAATATAATGCCAAATGATTGGCTTGGCTCTTGGGATTTAGGAAGAACTGTATCTTCCTTAAATGGATCTTATTGGGCGCTATCTACCAGGCTGTCCAAAGGAAGTGACTGGGTTTCTTCTCCGGTGTTGAAATGTAAAGCAGAAGAGGCAGGGAAAGTCACCTTTTTGGGAATTTGTATTTGTTGACAAATTTAGGTATGGTTATATCAAATAAAATAGTTTTCAAGGAAAGAGAAAAGAAAGAAAGGAAGGATGGAAAGAAAGAAGAGGAAAAAAGAGAACTAAAAGCTGCAAAGAAAACAAGCTCGTAAATAAGGGGGAAAAGTTCAAACACAAAATTGAGAAAATTTGGCTCAAACTTCGAAAGCTTCAGGTTCTTTGAAATTGACCTTTTAAAGAAAATGATCATCTGCGAGGCCATTTGGAATGCTTAGAGGGGAGATGTACAGAAGAAATAAGAAAATATAGCTTTTGAAAATAAGTGAGGATTTACTTTACTTTGGCCTTTTGGGCCTCTGGGTCTAGGAGATAGTAGGTACAGCAAAGCTCATAGTGGGGTAGCTTCTCTTTAGGTGTGATGACACTGTGTCACTGTTACAACTTAATAAGCCTTAAAACAGGAATTCAGAGACTCTCTCAACTCGGAATGGTTGAGACCCAACAGCATTCTAGGTAAACACAGGAGATGAAAATTAACAAAATATTGATCAGTAACAGCTTAGCAAACTCAAAGTAGGCTGTAAAATAGATCAGCTAGAGGTATTGGCTGCCATGGGACAGACATAGCAGATACCTGATGGTACACTAGGAGGGTAACCCCATGGCAAGGGAAATAGACAGGTCAAACAGACATAAATATTCAGATCCAGAAGGCAGGGATCTCAGATACCAGACACAACTATCTAAGCAAGCAGTAAAGACGGAAAAGGCTATAATAACAGACAAAGGTACATGTAGTGCATTTGCACAGGAAAATACAGTGAATCAAGATGATGATCTCTTAGACTAAAGTGGGACAGACTGTAGAGAGAGGAAAGTCATGTGACAAACAGCATGGGAGAGGTCATGAAGAACTTACTGTGGGAGAGATGAAAGCCGGGGTTTTCACTGGAAAGCAGAGAACAAGTGATTGCCTCCCACACCTCCTACCACTAAGAAGAAAGTGCAATACCTGGGAGGCTTCTTCAGCTTTTGGAAAAGACACATCCAACCTGGAAAACTGTTCTGACCAATTTATCAAATAACTTGATATACTTCCAATTTCAGGTTATGCAGCTGGTTTAGGCTGTAGTACAAATTTTGGTATAATTGATCATGCCAATTAGTTCATCTGAATCGGCAGAACA